CAGACAGACAGACAGACAGACAGACAGACAGACAGACAGACAGACAGACAGACAGGCAGGCAGACAGACAGACAGAGAAAATGCTGCTATCGTTAAACGCCTTACAGGATGTTCTGTCAGGACTTTGGGTGAACAGAAAATACCCCAGGAAAGAAAACAACCCTGAAGCTTGAAAGTCTAAATAACAGCCTCACAGTCAGACTAACGGCGGACTCAACCATTTCTCTGATAGACCGGCAATTTACCTACAGAAAGCACACCAATCATTTGTCATGCTAAACGTTTCAACATTGGAATATTTGTTTTAATAATCCCGTACAGGGCTAGTTTTTTGTTGTTGATGAAACGAAATCTCATGTCGCGCCAGCTTTTAAAGAAATACATTTTATTCGTCATTTGCCTTGGCTTTGACAGATAGCGGCCTGCGGATTGCGGCTGGAGTAACACTCAACATGTCACTTCCGGGCATTACGCGAGGTCCCTGAGAAGGAAACTATGGGCAATTAATTACCTTCTTAATGCCGGCCACCTGCAAGCTGTCAGATAAAACACAGGGGAGTTGACACAACCGTAGGTTAAGCCTAGCGTTAGGAGCAAGGTAGGGCCTGTCCTTACTCCCCCGTGCGTGTTGCAGGCATTAGGCTTGCTGTCCTCGACCTCTCATAAACATGTCTTATGTCTAAACAGGGGGATTGCTTTGCACCTGACCTGCTTTGTGCAATAACCTACCTCACACAACGTAGCACTACTGGGGCAAGACTGGGGCCTTATACCAAGCTATTGTGCTTGGATAAGACACTTGCCTCCTGATGTGGAGGAGACCCTTGGTTTGACCTGTGTTCTCAACCACAACGAAGCCCCTGAGTTGGTAATCGGGTCGAAGACATAATGTCTAGTCGCTATGCGTTTCGTTCTGGACCATGCTCACACACGACTGCTTTTTTTACATACAAAAATACTCTTAAATGGTCGATGTACTTTTATTTTAGATCTGCCCATGCGTATGTGGTGTGCAGTTCAGTTTTTATAAATCAACATTCCTACCACAAAACTCGTAACAATCGTGACATGTTACGTCTTATTATCGACATTGTCATTCACTACAATCTGCTCTTTCCGATTGCATTAAAAAAATGTTCGCAGACCAAATGGAAACAGATGACCATGGTATCAACAGAAAGCGAACTATTTGTTTTCAGTGTGATTATGATGTCAAAAGACAACCGGACGAGCAAGCTGACAATTCGATTTTGACGGTCACGGTGAGTGCACAGTGCTCACTCTGTAAGCCAACACAACAGATGAGTCGGCGTGCGTTCACTTGCTGAAATACTTGCAACAAGACTCTCAACCCCTTTATTGAAGGCCAAACGCGTTCGTTTCCTCCGTATTATCAACTTCGCAAACCAAAACAAAAAACAAAAACACAAAAAAACAACAGCTATCAAAACATTATAAAACCTGAATGTGAAATACAGAGCTGCGGGCAAGTCGACATTTTATAATGGAGCTTAGTTATCATCGAGTTCTGAAGGAATCTGTAGTAATCCGGGGTGTAGTGAAAGTGTCATGAGTTTATGAAACTTCGGGCGTCCTGCAGTGACGTTAATGACAACCGGGTCCCTAGCCATGCCGCATGCGCAGACCATCTGTAAATCCCCGTTCCGGAAGACACTAAGACGTGTTCAGGACTTTGTGGATTTCGTCGGGAACCCCTGTCGTCTGGTAAATCCTGCTTTATTGGTTTGTCATTATCTCAGAGATAAGGCCTGAGATTCAAGTTTTGCTTAAATTTTCAAATCATAGCACATCTTTCCTTCACTCCACTCTTCCCCGAATCACTCAGTCAATCAACCAGTCACTGAGTGCACTCTCTCGCAAGAGTGTGCATTTTTTTCATTGTGAATGTGTGTGTGTGTGTGTGTGTGTGTGAGTGTGTG